ACAGAATAACCAACCACTTACTATGGAGAAGCGCTGTCTCACTTCCTAGTCTTTTCCCTCCTTTCTTCCATCCTCCTTCCCTCTTTCCATTTCTCCTTGTTTTGTCTTTCTTAGCATTGGTCATGACCTACCACATACATTTTACAACTCATCAATGGGTAGTAAATAGTCTGAGTTCGACCAACACTGTTCTTTGGAATACAGAAGAATTCCCAGATGCAGTTTCTGCTGTTTGATGCCTGTGCTCTTGTCTGGGTCCATAGCAAGATAGTGCGATATCAAACAAGAGAACATCATAGAGGAGACACAGAGCATTGTGGAGGACCAGCTGGTTGCACCAGCGCTTAAAGACTGGCCATCAGAACTAGCAGTGAGGACAGAGCGCTGCAGACAGTTGTCATGGAGAGCCCCGCTTAGGGCACTGGGCCTTCCTTTTCTTAGGCACTGACATCAAAGCTTTTTGGCATCCTTTGACTTTTTCTCTGTCCTATGCAGTGTAGGGTCCATGGGCAGTGGACAGGAATGCTTTGCTCTGGAAACAATTTATTCAATCAAAGGCAAAAACAGCTTTCAGTGATTTTCTCAAATTTCAGAAAACCACCTTTTCACAAAGCTGGCAATGCCTCTCGTTTATCAAAAATCACTCAAAGCTGCATAATTTCTGCATTTTACCTTATTGTAGGTCAGAGGTCACCCCTTCTGGTAGGACCATGTACTTTTCTGTCTGGCTGTCATGGTTTCAGAATTTGTGTGACACTGCTGGGGAAACTTCAGGGCTTGCAAAGTGCGCATTGTTAGAAAAGGGCTCTTCCTCCCAAGAGACACGAAAACTGGCTTTCTGAAATCCCCTGGAATATTCCTGTTTACATTGACCCCAGTCACCTAGATTGGAAGAATTCCATTCTTAATATTGTGAATTTGAGGTTTCCAGAAGGCGCTCATACAGGGATGAATTTTCTCTTGACATCTGCTACTTAGAATATGAAATGTTAGTATTGACTACCTTTTGCTGTCTGTACACAGCACACAGACAGAAGCGGTCTGGAAGTTATCCACGCTGGAACCCTTATTTGCCATAGCCAGCTGATGCTCTTAGGAGAGCTGAAGCTTCTTCTGCCCCCCACGCCCCTCCTCTCTCCATCTCATTAGACAGAGCTGCCTAATGGCTCATGTGCCTTCAGAATTGCACAGTAATGCTTTTCCAGATAGCTGATATCTAAATGGCTCTGTGTATTCCAGGCTGTGGAGCTCTTATCTCTTCTTAATGGTTTAGCATGAATGCCAGAAGTAAATGGAAAATTCAACTCTGATAGAAAAAGATGGGCAAAACTACCAGACTTCAACTAATATAGGTTTAAGGGCAAAATCAGCATCAAAACATTGTAACTTCTGCATGGGCTGGAAAATGTCACACACTTTCTAGTGGGACCATGTGCTTGCCAATGTGCCTGTCTGGCACTGTTTCACAGCTTTGTGTATAAGTTGATCCCCCTGCCACAACCCTCAGACATGGGCACTTCTGTTACCATCACAGTTTATAACCCTAAATAGGAGGCTGTAAGTATGTTCAGAATTACACAGCTTCTGAGTGGCAAAGTCATATCCAAGCATCTGAACCCAAAATCATGCTTCAGCTACTCTCCAATATTGCTTTTAAATATGGACTTAAATTTTAAAAATGAACTGACTTTGAAAGGCTATCAATTTGGTATGTGAGAAATAGTACTAATTTTTGAAGATGAGGGAAATGCTTCTAAATTTATCTGGCTGCCATGCAAATAACAGAAAATTTGAGAGGTGAAACTGATACTGATAAACTGTGCAGTGTGACCAAGCAAGTAAGGAGCCCAGACTGAATGGGGAGTGCCACGTGGGCCTCAGTAAGTGGACCTGCCCAACAGGTGCTAAGAACTATTTGATGACATGCAATGCCGAAAAATGTAATCATGATTTAATTACCCACCTGTTCTGGCGGGGGTCATCCATGTTTTCCTTCCTAGCTCCTGGGTCCCTTTCTCTGCTCTAATCTCCTAATGTGATTCTAGCCTGAATCGGATTCCCACATCAATGGTGTGTCCCCCTGGGCTTCCCCTCAGCAGTCTGCACTGAACTACTCTCTGGACCCAGACCCTGGCCCGCAGTTCCACCAAACAGGTGGGTGCCCCTGGGCTACTCTGAGCTTTGTTTGTTTTTTATCATCAGACTCTTGCCAAGGTCCCTTCAGGCATAAAGAATTGTGTGTTCTCTTTGGTCTTGGCTGAATACAAAGCCATTTTAACAGTACCCAAAATGTGAACATTTTAGAATAATAAGCTATAATACACTTGCTTATATAATGTGTAGTAGTGGATTGAATTTTGCTGAAAGGTGAAAAAAAGCTCTTTTAAATTATTTCCTTTGGGCATGAGCAGCAATTTAATGTTTTCTTTGCCTTAAGACCCCTTTTATTTAAAGTAAATATTCTGTCTCTAAATTTTGTATGTGTACATATTCAGAATTTAATATTAAGGCAAGCTACTTTTTTTCCACCTGATTTGGCAACTCTCCATCCTGGTCCCTGTAGAATTTGCTGCCACTTCCGGCCCCAACAGAGGCTGAGGCCCGCCCAGCCTGTTCTCGGCCACAAGGGCCCCCTGGCACTTTTGCCAGGCAGGACAGACAAGGGGACAGTCAGGAATGACGTATTTTGGCTGGGTTATTTGCCATTCTCCTGGGCTCAAAATAATTTTTGTTTCTATCATTTGTAGGCTGTCTTACAGGGTTCTGTGGTTACTGTTCAAGTTTCTGCTATGAATAAATACATAAGCCATAGCAAAGTGTTGGCTAGATGTAAATGTTTAAGTTTTTGATATTTAAAGATACAGCTGTTATTTTAATAATTATATGAGTTAATTTCCCCCTCACCACCCCTTAAGCCCATTTGACCCCTTTTCCCACCATTGTCCCTCTTGACCTCAGAAACCTTCCTTTCTGTTTTTGGAAGCATTTGCTTAGTCAGATGGTGGAAACATCCAGTCTTTATCATTCTCACTTGCTTTACTGCAGTTAGTTTTCTCCAACTCCTTCTTTTGTGCTGCAAATGGCAACATTTTGTCTTTCATTATGGCTGAATAGTATTCTCTGGGGGTAGATATACCACATCTCCTTAAGCCTGTCCCCTCAATAGGTTGTTTTGAGGACGAATATTTTGCTGTTAGTGAAATTCAAGCTCTAAAATTCTTTTGAGGACACATAATTTGATCGACTTATTTTTTTCATCTTTTGCTATGTCAGAACAGTGAAACATTAAAAGTACTTTGATTAAACAGGAAAAATAATCTTGTTATTCATTATGGAATTGACATTTTTAAGGTAAAAATTTCTTATAAGTTACCTCTAGTTTTATGGCAACATAAAGGTCGTCTATGTTGAAATCTCCAAAAAGGCAGAAAATATTTTTCTTCTATTTAAAACAATTTTTTTCAATGCAAAATAATGCAACCCTGAGTAATCATTGAGAGAGTATGCCTACACTTCTTATTTTTCGTTCCTCTCCCCCATCCCCAGAGCACTGATTCTTTCTACAAAAACTTCTGGTACATTTTATGTATGTAAAATCAATTATCGGTAAAATGATGCAAAAATGGGGCCCTCCCTGGTGGCGCAGCAGGATAAAGCACAGCACTGAGAATCTAAAGCTGCTTATGCATGAGTTC